TCTTAAGATAACAAGGCCCCTAAAGGCCTTAGATGTGCACTTCCTGTGTTTTCCAGCTCTGGGAGTGGGGAAGGGCCACCTCCATGTTGTCCCCAAGCATGAATTCTATCAGGTTGGCCAATTTATCCAAAGGCAATGGCTGGCACCTTCCTAGATCTGCCTGATGTTCTGAATGTGTAGTGAGGCAACAACATCTGAGTCTATGTCAGATTTAATGGTTGGCAGTGGCATGATGGGAGTTGGCTGATTTGTTGAGGCCCACTTGATGTAGGTTACAAAGTATTTTTGTGACAATGGAGGTGGCATGACTGCAGCTGGTGTAGACGGGACACCTACCTGGGTATGAAAGATCACAGAGATGAGAGAACCACTATAGACTGCACTGTGGGTAAGTTCTGAAGTCAGTACTGTATTGAATGATAAAGGTCTGGAGGATCTGTGGCATCAAAAGCTCTGTGATGAGACGACCGCACACTGAAAATATTTGTTGTGTGGTAACAGATACAGGAGCATGGACAGATAGAGTCTGCATTGTGGAAATAGTTGCTGCAGTGCACAGAAGCTCTATTGCTGTCGAGAAGTGATTAACAGAAGAGTATGCAGGATGATGTTGAGGAGAGCGATAGTGAGTTGACAATGGATGGTAGTGAGATCAGTATCTATGGGGACCAACATTGTGAACATCAAGACCAATGATGTGGACAGTGATGTTGTTGGACAGGAGAGTGATAATCTCAATTATACTAGGACAGAGAGAGAAAAATCTATCAACATGGTACCAAGAGCTCTCATAGTTCCCTTCCTCCAAGACTGAATAGGAAATTTGATTTCCTATCAATGATTGAAACCAGCCTTTTCTCCCTATCTTGCCAATCTGAATCAATATGAGCCACACATTAAAACTAAGCCACTTTACTGCCCCTTTCTTTTCATAGGAATGAAATGAGTTACAGCCCTTGACACATTGCTTAAATAGCTAATGATAAGGAAGGTGTGGAATGTCACTGCTGTTGCTGCTAGACTCCAACTCCTACCAGGCATAGGCAGGGCAGACAAGACAGTGATGAAGGAAGTTGCAATCAAACAATATCTGGAGGAATAGACTTCCTCTTACCGAATGTAAGGATAACTGGCATTTTTCACACACTGAATTGGCCTGTCAGTATCAATGCACCACCCTTGTAGAACTTCAGGGGTTTTAAAAAAAATTATTATTATTATTATTAGTATTACATCATTCTGAATCCTTTCCTGGCTCATTAATCTACTATAATGCATTTAACACTGAAACTACTTATGACCTGTGGAGAGGTGGATGGACATGATTCTGTTCTGGTACTTACTGGTCCTGTAATTTCTTTCTCTGATTCCAAGCAATTGCCAGTTTTTGAAAAGCGATCCATTATTGTTACTAATCCAATATGGGGGTGGGAATAACTCATTATGATGAATTTTGGACTGCTTATTATTTTTTCAATACTCTGTCAGAATTTAAACTTGGCCTGAGAACCAAGTTCAGAAGCCTGAAAAATTCCAGAGAGAACATGTCTACAAATGTTTTTAAATGCTTTTTAGAAGTGACTTTTGAAAGAAACTGTTTCTTGTCACATTAAAAAAAAGTGGCATGGCATCTACTTTTTATATTACTTTTAAGATGAAGGGCAGGGGGAAAAGAAAGATAATTTAATTACATTAAAGACCTTGTTTGCACCTAGTTCCTTCCAGGTTCTGCACCATCATCACTCTAATTTAGCAAGTAGCATTTACCTACAGAACCAGGTTGCCTAGTGCATGGGTACAAATCATGTAGATGTGCGCCTGTACATGAGGGGCAAGGATAGCAAGATGCCCATCTCTTTCATTGAGTTGAAAGAGACAGAAGCTTTATTCTCCTTTGCTTATTATGAGTACTTCCGAAACCATAAGCAAAAGCGGGCTAGACTAATCTTCAATTCTATGCAGAGCTTGGGAAAGTTCCTTTTGGGGGGGGGGGCACACAATGCCTATTCCTGACAAGGGATATTGGGGGTTGTAGTTCAAAAAATTACCTTTCCCAATTTCTAGCTGTATGTTAATTTTTAGAAGTATCTCTTGCAATTTCTCCCCTCTTTTAACACAATTATTGTATGTGTGACAGTCAGCCAATTCCTCATTAGCCAGCTTTTACTGCACAGGCAAATCTTTCCCCATTTTCTTTTTTTTTCAGTGAAATTCTGAGTTCCCTCTAGGGATTTCCTTTTCAAAGCTGGAATGGCTAATGAGGATTATACAGAACAGACACTTATTAGTGTTGTACCTCTCACTGCCTAAGCAGCCTCCTTTAAAAGGGGAAAAAAGCTTATTGTCTCTCTGTGCTGATTGGAGAGAAAATTAAGTTTTACATATGCCCTATTGAGAGAAGACAAGTCACTTTGATAGCCATGCCCAGCTACAAATCCTTCCAAGGTAATAAAAAGATAGTCTACCCAACATTATGGCCCTGCTAAAAATGTCTGTAAAATTAAAAATGCCACCTCTGCACAAGTGATGATCTGGCCTGTCTCCTTTTTTCTGATCATTCATATAATAGGATTCATATAACACTGAAACCCCTTATGACCTATGGAGGACTGGACAGACGTAATTCACTTCTTACTGGCCCACAATTTCTTTCTCCTACCTGAAAAGGGATGTCACAGAATGCCATTCCTTTTCAAATTGTATTCAGCACAACATCTCTCTCCTCTTTCCCCAACTGCAAATGGAGGAGGGTTGTGAGAGAGAATTTGGAGATTCCATTTTGGCTATCATTCTTGCACTTTTGTCACTGTTCAGAAATAAACAGATTTATTACATCTTACATGGCTGTAAATGTAAGTCCTTACAATGTGCAATAGTCAAACAGCTGACCAATAGTCATTCTTGCACTTTTGTCACATGGCTGTAAATGTAAGTCATGTGCAATGTGCAATAGTCAAACAGCTGACCAATCAGTCTCTTATCTCTTGTGCTCTTGGATTTCTCCACACAGCCACACTCCAGAGAGAGACATCAAAGGGACCTGATGTTTTTTCATCCCTCTCAAAATATAATTGCTTATGATTTAATCGTTCTGTCCATCTAGATGTACAGGATAGTGTTGGAACCATCAAACAATTCTGATGCGAGGCCAGGGACATGCGCAGCCTCTCCGTAAGAACACTGCCCCACTAAGAAATCTAACTGTTATTTCAATTAGCACAATGAAACATAAAATAATGAAGTGTGTTGGAAGACTATTCTTTCTCCTGCTTCACCTTTACCAGAACTTATGTTCAGATGTTATATTGACATCTTGTGGTCAAGGACAATATGACAACCCAACAATAAAAAAAAACGGCTCATTGGATTGACTGGCAATCATTTTTCCCCATTTTTGGGAGTTCACACTGAACTGTATTAAGCATTGCCACCTTTCCTCTCATTTTAAGAACAGCATCACAAGCTGATGCTAAGGAATCGTTTTGCCCAGCAGCTTCCTGGAAAGCTGCAACTTCAGATAAGCAAGAGAAGGGAGCCTCTTCCGACTACCAGGAACGAGTTCGGAACATGAATATTTGTGTAGCTGGAACTGCAGCATCCACATACAGTGGTGCCTCACACAACGATGGACTTCAGATGAGCAAGAGAAGGGAGCCTCTTCCAACTACCAGGAACGACTTCGGAGCATGAATATTTGTGTAGCTGCAACTGCAGCATCCACATATAAGAATGTATAGCAGGCTTGGGGAAACACTCAAGTCTGCAGAAGAAAAAAAACAGGCAAAAGGATCCAAAGCAACACAGATGAGGAACAAGTTACATCTAGGGCTAAAGTCAATTGTTGGTTCCAAGTACTCTTTGAACAAGTGGGTCTTGTACAAGTGTCGAGGTAACAATTTCCATTCATCAGTGGGTGTCCTCTAATTAGGAATAACAGTTGCATTTAGCTCTCAGTGACCATGAAATGCCTACTGTTATGGGGAACCCAAATGTCTCCTCGAAAGACATGGCTGGCTTGAACTCCGTAATCTTTGCAACTGTTCTAAGTTTTGTGTCTTAAACTAGAGAAATCACTAGGCTTTTAACCTCATCGTGTTTGCTAAAATTTGCCCTTGGCAACATTTTTTCTCCACGTTCTTGAACAAATTTTAATTTTCCCAGTCTTGATCAAGTTGTCTCACTCCTATTTTTAATAAGAAAGTATTACATAGGCCTTTGCTCCTGCCATTCTGTCCTGAAGCACACTTCCATAGGATGCATCTAAGTGAGTACAGTGGTGCCTCGCTTAACGAGCGCACCGTACAACGACGAAATCGCATAGCGATCCCTTTTTTGGGATCGCTAATGTGATCGCTCAACGTTTTTTAGATAGGGCAAAATTCGCTTTGCGAAGATTGGTAAGCGTTTCGCTTACCGATCTTTGCAAAACGAAGCCCCAACGATAGCTGTTCAGCGGCCAAAATGGCTGCCGGAAGCCCGTAAATGGCCCAAAATGGCCGCGTGCAGCGTTTTCGCGCCCTCGTTAAGCGAGGGGAGGGCACGAAAATGGCTGCCGGCCATTAAGAAGCATCACTGAACGGTGAGTATTCGGCCCATTTGGAACGCATTAAACCATGTTTAATGCGTTCCAATGGAATTCCCTGCCCCGTTCAACGATGCTTCAGCATAGCGAAGGTTAATCCGGAACGGATTAACCTCGCTATGCGAGGCACCACTGTAATTGAAATTCATCGAAGTGGACCAAAGTTAGGACAGTGTGTAAGGATTTCACCAAACTTGATGACTGAATCTGTTCCTGTTGACAGCAGTCTGTACTTGTTTACTTAGCACCTTCTTTGCTACTACTTATTTTATAGTATGCAATTCCATTTGCATAATTTTGCTCTGTGTAAATGCTGTTATCTTATTCCTTCCACATTGCTAATAGTTTTACCAGCATCTTTGAAAGGAACAATTCAATGCTAAATTTAAAGTTTTTATTTATATAATAGTGGGCTTCATTAACAGTTTACAACTTTATTGAGTAGTGAATATGTTAATATTTACATTCAAGAGAGACATAAACCAGAGCACTCTAAAAAGGGCTACAGTTATAGGATAGGACAAGACAGACATATATAAAAAAACAGAGATACAGACAGTTTTCCTTTGTTTCACTTTGAAGACCTCCAGGTTGCCTTAAGGGAGGTTAGCATTTTTTGATTCTATTGGCTGGAAGTTTGGATTTATCCAAGTCATCAAAGTATGGATGGTTCAGGGCTGCACGGCCAGAAATCCTCTTTGCAGGATCATATATTAACATTTTCTGCAAGTCAAAATAAAGATGAGTTAATAGGGCTAATAGGATAGGTTGCAATCACTGTTTGAGCTACATCAGAATTTCAAGATGTGTAGGTAATTCTGATCAACAGAATAAAGTCATTTATCTCATCAAATAAACAAACAATTTAAAAATCTCTGACATTTAGTATAGATCAATATCCTTGGTTGGATTCTTGGCATTTGTCTTATAAACTAGTCCACTCTGACTGTTTGGGATTAATCCACCATGTTCCACTAATGTTAGGTATTTTAAATGTGGGCAACTGCTCGTGCGTGCGTGCCGGGGTGTGGGTGGTGTTTGCACACAGGTGCGCATGTATATATGCACGTCGCTGTTCCTTCGGCCCTTAAAAATGTTGAAAATATCCGGTGTGGCCCTGTGCACGTCGCTGTTCCTTCGGCCCTCAAAAATGTTGAGAATATCCGGTGTGGCCCTCATCGTCAAAAGTTTGGAGACCCCCGATTTAGACCATTATGAATTCATGCCTCATCAAAAGTTTGGAGACCCCTGATTTAGACCATTATGAATTCATGCCTCATAATTTACACTGGACAGACTTCAAGACAACTTGGATTAAGAATCACTATAGAACATCTGCAACTGCAAATTGCAAGAGCTCTCAATCCAGAATTGTGTATGTCATCCCCTTGCACCCAAATCCTTTACATTTTGTGAACTAGAACACATAAGACCCAGCCTGTATCAACAGGTTTCTCTTGTTTTTCCTTTTTCTCACTTTGTACTACAGTTTGCCTCATGCCACAATAGTTGGATACTGCCTCTTTAAGTTCATTCACATACATAGCTGATTCGCCTATTTTTCAAATGTCTCTGCATGGGACTTTACAACAGCCATTTATAGTATTCTTTAATGTCTAGCCTGTTATTGTGTCCGGTTGCTAAACATACGGCTTTCTGTTAACATTTCACTCTATGTAATAATTTCATCAATGCCTA